GGGATGCTAGAAGATCCACACGATATGTTCGATTTGTTTTGCAACGAATTTCGTGCTGCTCTGCAAAGCAACAAGGGACCTGCACTTGCCTTATTATGTTTGGCCCAAAAGTCGGTGAGTTTCTTGAAATGACGAATGCCTTGAACTTTATTCAAGCGGTTATAGTTGAAGTCGAGAATCTCCAAATTCTGCAGATTTTCTAGTCCAGAAGTCGACTGAATCCCGTTTTGAGCCAGGTAGATCTCACGGAGAGTAGACAACGTTGAAACACCCTGGAAACTTCAGTTTGTTGTAAATGGATGACGATTGTGTTATTGCTAACCGCTAACGCACTTCCGAGTGCGTATCAGGAGATCCGAGTCACTGCGGCGCGGCATTCCAAATAGGGACGCGCGCAACGCAACATTCGCACACGCCCTATCGATTCGAAGCGAAAAGTCTAAACTCCGCTCCAGGTCATCCGTGTTGCAGCAACTCGGATCTTCTGACCCGCTCTCCAAATTTCCCAACGTTTATCTCGGGCTCAAGCCATAAGCATGAGTATCATGGAAGGGCTAAACAGTGTCCCACTCGATATGACTTGCCCCTCAGGACCGATAGCGATGCTTGAGTGATCCAAAATGGAGGAATGACTCGTTGAATGTCAATCTAGCCTTCACTGACCTCGATTACTGTAATCGCATTGGCGGGCAAGCTCAACACCTCGATTTTCTTCAGAGTGCTCAAGATTCTCTATTCCTACGAATCTGATTGGCTCCAAGGAACAGGCGGACGATATTCACATTCGAGTCGAGGTTCTCAATTTTCTTGATCCGATTGTCACCCAACTCCAGATATTCTCAAGGTGGACCAAGCTAAAATCTTCCAGATACATACTTCAGGGCTGTTGGTCGTCTTGGGTTAGCTAACGATTATGCGAGTTCCTCCAGAATACTTGCACCCTGCTGTCGATCGAAGTCGTAGCATTCCGCTCGATAGCTGTGTGGGCGCAGAGAAGAGCGGGAACTCTCAGCTATGGTGCCTACCTCACTGGCGATACCAAAAGGCTCTCTAAGGCAGATGTACACTCACCTACTTGGATCCTGGTCCTCGCCATGTGTGAGGAGAATGTGTCGGAGCTATACAGCCACGCCACTTTCGCCGGACAAAGTGACGGGAACTGTGCTCGCAGCGACCGTCTCCAGTTTACTCTGTTCGCAGCTGCCGCACGGCAGCGACCAACAACGGCAATATAACACTAGCAAACGCACTACATTACTAATACGCCTACCCACTTTAACTGGATATATCAATATACCTCTGAGATGTGTGTTTCGATGCGGACCTTGAATTGCGCTGCACCTTGAGGATAGCGCAACGAAATGTGGGGTATGGGAAGACACATATGGACATGCAGCTACAACCTAAAAAACACCCGTTCAGTAGCTCTTTCAGACAGGATAAGACTACCGCATTATTGCGGACTGCGGACGCAGTCGCCTCGCACATGCACAAGGCAAGACCGTCTTCGAAGGTGGTTGTACAAGTTGTCCTCAAAAGGAAAGGCACGCCAATGAACAAGGCTCAATGGACAGGGATCTCTGCGCTTTTTCCGATTGCTCGACTTGCGCGGAATGCATCTCCACCAGAGCGGGCGAGATCCCAGATGGCCCATTTCAATCCGTGATGAGTTACCGTGTCGAGGCCTTCAATCTTGGTAATTTTGTTGTGGACCAGGTAAAGAGTTTTCAGATTCACGAGCTTTTCCAAGTTTTCGATTTTGCTAAGGCGATTGAATGATAGATCGAGTGTTTCGAGGTTCACCAGCGTAGAAAGATTTTCTATCTTCTCTATCTGGAACTCTGAATTTGAAAGGGGGCATGTTTACGAAGAAGCAGCAAGAATGAACCTGGTTATCATACAGGTCTAGTTCAGTCAATGTTGTGAGAGTATGCAATCCCTCAATGGTCTTTAGCAAGTTCCATCTGAGACAGAGCGTTCTAATCTGAAACAAACCTATGCTTTCCCCGCTAGAAAGAGCCTACTCCGGATACCTGTGTGAGAAATTCAAATCCTTCGATCTTTTTCAAACGGGTACGGGTTAGATCCAAGCTCAAAGCATTCCTGTCAACCTGAATAGAACTGTCAGCAGCCCCACCCAAAGTTCTGGTGGGTCCGTCAGCTTACTTCTATAACATTTTCTTCTTGGGATTCTTGAGCTTCTTGAGTTTCTCGAGGTTCCTGGACCGCTTCCTGGGCAGCGCTAGCAGCTTCTAGAACAGCTTCCGCTTCTTCTCGAACAGCCTCAGCTTCCTCCGGTCTCTCTTCGACACATGCAGAAGCCGACATCTTTAAATGAACCTTCCTTCCATGCTATACTCTTTTATATTCGAATGAGGTCGCTGACCGCCATTTGTATCATTATGATTACTGCAATATCATGATTACTTACTTCATTGGAGACTGGTATTGCAGACACTCCATTTCGATGAATAATCAAACACTAGCTATTCTTCTTCGGCTGATACTCCTCTCCTGAATACCCCGAATTTTTGAGACAAATCAAGTTTTCCTGGAGTGAGGGTTAGCAACGTCCCTTCTGTTCCTGCCGTGGGCACTAATACTTCGATCAAACTTTTCAGCACCAGTGATACAAGGGCTCACACTCCCAGATCATCTTTACCAAGGTCCTCGTGCCAGAGATTGCGCTCGTACATCCTATTCT